CTCGGTGAGTGGCACGCACGCCACCGAAAACCCGCGGAAAGGAATCTTTCAGTTACTCTGTGATTGGATTCCACCGCGTTCTGTGACTCTGTAATACTCTTTTAGTATCTCTGGATTAGTTGCTCTTTTAGTTACTCTGTTATTGTAGTTTTTTGTGTGTCATTGGGATATTGGACAAGTTTTGCTAGTGTCAGGTGCAAGGAGGACTTCGGGCCCACGTATCGTTTGGCCTGCGCCCGCTGGAAGCATTTTTTTGCGCGGCCAGTTTCAGCCACGTCAATCGGTCAGGTCTATGCCCATCTGCATGAGGCAGTCAGAACAGTGCCACATCCTGCAGGGCTGAAAAGCCGTCCAGCTCAATGGCTCTCTTTTGGTCGGGGTGCGAGAGAATCATTGCTCAAAATCCTTGCACATGTCCAGGTCCCTCCAACAATATGTGATTTGCATCTCTCCCCACTCTCCGCCACACTGCATCTGTGCAAATTCCAGTCTCAAATTCCAAACTCCCAAACCATCGGAGGCTTTCCGCGAAACATCACCAGCTGTTGCGGAGCAACACGGTCGGACAACTTGCGGTCTGCTGTCCTCGTCACCTGCTCAACGCGACCCAGCATCCAAGGATGGAAGGTGTGGCAAAAGCAGCACTTCAGAACCTCGGCGCAGAGAAGGTTGACGTTGTGACGTTCTACTAGTTACCTGCTTCATTTGGGATTGAGTAAAGTAGTGAAGCCTATATGTCTGTAGAACCGTAGCAATCAAAGGGCTTGGGCGCTTGGTGCAGTTCCTTGAGGGCGCTCAAAGAGTTGTTGGACATTCGCCCCGGAAACTCGCCATGGGTCAAAGGAGATGTGCTTCTTCTCATGGGAATGGCCCTCCTTAGGCAACCATTTGCCTCGCAAAGGCGGCAACTCGCACCCTCCACCTGCCTTGGGGGAGAACTTCCGCCAGCACTCCTCTGGCTTCTGCAGAGAAACTGACAGGCCGCAATGGGAATGCCCAGGGCTTAAACCAAGGGATGCTTGATCCCCCCCCCCTGCCAAACAACATAGGTTTGTGTATGCAAGCTAACCAAACGGCACCACACACAGACAGGCACGCGATAACTCTTTTATCCGAGCAGTGTGTTGGTGCCAGGGACTCATCTTCCCCTGTCAGATGACAAAGGCTGGGTGGGCCCCATGGGCCACCCAACTCACAATCTCAAAAACTGAAGAACGGGTGTGCAGACTGATAGCGCCCGCCCCTGAGCCGGGGCCCGTGGCACCCAGGCCACAGGGGGGTCTGCCACCAGGGGAAGTGAGTCACCCACCGGCTCCGGTCACGGGAGCATGGGTGGGCCCACGCTGAGATCAAATGCATCTCCATTCAGGAGACGCGGGAGAAAAACAAACTCCTCGCAGAGTTCCTGCTTGGGGACCCTTTGCAAAGGGTCGAACCCAGAGAAATCTGGGTGCGTCAGCTCATCAGCCCATTGATTGAATTCACGGGGCACGTGGTTGGCCGCCAGCGAGCAGCCATGGGTGTGGAGCAGGAAGACCAGCTCCATCAGGATCGCCGCCGTGTAGGGCTTCTTGGATCCAAGGTTGAGCATCGCCATGACGTTGCCCTGGTTGTCACTGCCCACCGGGAGTCGGACCCGGGAGGACAGAGGGCCTTGGTGCGTGAGGATCATGTTACAGAGGAAGAGCGTGCCCAGCATCTCCAGAGCTGCAATCCGCCGCTTTGGATCCCCACTCTTGAAGGCCCAAGGGTACTCCTCCACGTGGATCTGCTCGTGGAACCAGTACACCTCTTTCTTGTCCGGCTCCACTTTGTTGGAGCACCAACCTCCCACAAATGCCAGTCCGTCGTCCGAGGCGCTAGCATCGCTGCAACCCCACCAAGAGGACTTCGGCAAGTAAGGGGAGTACTGGACGAAAGGCGTGTTGAAGAGGAACCGCAGCATGAACGCCAGCATCCTGACCACCTTGGGGGGTTTCCCCACCGTGGTGGTGGCCATCTTCCAGGCCCAAAGTGGCTGGAGCATCGACTTCGCCAGCGGACATGCAGTGGAGCTTGTCCCCCCACGGCGAAGTGAGGACACAGATCTTGGCCCCCAGCGCTGCTGCTTTGGACAGTGGCCGGGTCCAGGGGGCCAACCGTCCCAATGAGGGCTTTCCTCCTCCGTCCCTTAAGGGACGCTGTTTGAAGGCCATCTGAAGGTACATGACCTTGTCGGAGAGATTGGGGTCGTGCGTGATCGGCAGGATGGTGGGCCGATCCGAGATCTCCATGCCATGGTGTGCCCATGGATCCGGGGAAAGAGTGCCCCCCCCAAGTTCATCCGCCTCGCCAGTCCTCTGTGTCGATGTCCGGACCTCCGGGTTGTCCGAGGCCGAAACCGGGAGTGAGCCCAAGGTTAGTCCTGCCAACGCTTGTTGGCCCGCCTTCAGCCTCCGGGCCTGGCGCTTGTTGTCCCCCGGCGTGCTGGGAGAAGGTTCCCTCGGCCGCCTCGGGGGGGTCGTTGGGTTCGCCTGGGGCGCCGTGCCCCCCGGCCTCAGTGCCTCCAGGACGGGTCCCGCTCGGCAAAGGATGGCCGCGGCGAGACCCTGCATCATCTGCTCTGGGTACCGGCTGAGGTCACTGGAGTTTAGCTTTTCCCCCCTGGGGTGAGCCCCGTGGTTGCAACGCAGATCATGCCAGTGGTGAAGTGGAAGGTCTGTTGACAATGTCGTGGACTTCACAACCACCTGGCCCAGGCGGCACTCGTCAAACTTGATGAGGGAGTGGTGGAGTGCACTCGCCCATTGAATGTAGGCCCGCGTGACCCAGATCGATGAGCACCTCGCTGCGCTCGGGCTCTTGCTGCACTCCATCGGGTCCATCGGGTGCTCCAAGAAGGAGGAACCCATCTGCGGAACCGTTAGCTGACCTAGCCCCTTGTAGGCCAGCGAGGTCAGGTACATCTGTCGGAGCATGAGCACGCTGTCATTGTCCGTGTCCTCCATAACCCGGGGCTCCAAGCCCTCCAAGCCCCACAGCCCCTCACCGGCGGTGGGCCCCCCGGCTTAGGGAACCATCTGAGCATGCTCCACGTCCTGCAGTTGGGGCCGCCCCCCACCAAGGCGACCTTGCCCGCCATGGCCATGGAGCACATCGTAGAGTAAGGCTCCTCGCCCAGCATGTCCTGTCCAAGGTCTCCACCCTTTCGCCTGATATCCACCGCCCAAATGTACTCCGAAAAGGCCGGGTTGTAGGCATGGAGGTAGGCATCCAGGGCCCCCGCATCATCCTTCCCCGCGTACAGCAGGATGAGGGACGGTTTTGACGACTCCGGAACCGCCACCTCAGTCTGAGCCTCAGTCTTTCCGGGATGTTCTGCATCCATGGGAAGGTGGGGCTTGCCCCCCCTAGGGATTCCGTGTGTCCTTTGTCTGACCCCGTCATCTGTCCCTGGGCTGGCTGCTTGCCCTGGCGGTTCTTCCCGCCCTTGGAGCGCCCCTTGCCGGGCGGATCCTCACCTCTGGGTCTCTCTGGGGGGTCTTCGGGCGGCAAGGGGAAGTCCCCCAACTCCCCCTCGGTTCCATGGCATCACTGAGCGTTCAAGAATCCCAAAGGGGTGGCGTACTGCAGAGATCATCACCTCCACAACAAGTGTTCGGGATCATGCGGCCGATCCCACAACTGCCCGGTCAGGAAGGATGGATGGGTTTGCGATGCCCCCCCATCGAAGCATGTGCCACAGGCATGCCCTCACCTTCCCAAGTGACAGGAGGCCACTCAGGGTGCCATACCCCACCAGAGCCACAGCGAAAGGCAGACAGAGCGGGGGAGGCCAGGACGGCCTCAGATGGGAGGGGACTTTTTCAGGGTGCCACCGGCCCCGGAAGCCCCTCCACCGAGGAAGAGGAGCGGTCCCAGCCAGGGCACTCCAGAAGGGCGGAAGCATCCCTTTCCCCCGCACCCACCGAGGCAGTGGTTGCCCTTTGGCTTGGACCGGGTCGGCCCCGAGGGCCACAACCCTTTTCCCCCCTTCTTGGGCTTCTCCCACTGAGTCTGCCACACCTTGGGTGCCTTGCCCTTGCTCTTCCCCTTCTCCCGCGCCCTGTTCAGTTGCTCATAGACCTCCCGTTGCCAGAAGAGGAAGTCGCCCCTGATATTCTTGAGGGCATCGGAGAGAGTGGTGCCCTGGTGCACCATCTCGTGGATCTTGCGCCATGCATTGCGCTCTGCAAACAGCAAGGTGGTGTCGCTCGGGGGAGGCTTCCTGCCGGCAATGTCTTCCCCATAAAACCAGGCATACCAATCATCCAGCTCCTCCTTGGTGACCTTCAGGTTGCCAAACTGTGGCAGTGCCGCCATGCACATCAGGAGCGTCGTCCTGAAGGTTAGGTGCAACCGTTCCAGCTGGCGCCGGGATGTGGGGTGGCTCCTCACCTCTTCTTCATCCTCCCTGTCCCAGCCGTCCACCGTGATCTTCTTGTGGGTGGATGAGGGGCGCTCACGATGTGTTTTGCCGGGATGTCCCTTGGAACTCCAACCTCGGCTTCGGGGTCCCATGCTTGGTCACGTAAGCATCCTCCAGCTGGCGCCTGTCACACAGGACCTCAGGGGCGCCTTTGTCGGGCCCGCCTGGCCCGCCGGCTGATGGCCTTGGTTGCCTCCTGCGGGACCTGCTCCACCCAGTCATGGACCACGTTGCAGCGCCAGTTGACCTTGACCTCCACCATGGAGGACTTACTCAGGCCCGACACAAGTTTGGTGTACACCGAGTCGAAAGCCCTCAGCGATGGTGATTCGCTCGTCACAGACCGCCCGGAAGCGCAACGCCTCCTTGCTGTCGTGGACGGGGGCAACCGGGATCTCCATCACCGGCAATGGGCAGTTACACTACCCGGAGAATAGATGGCACATTTACGACGTATATTTTTAAGTAGATGGCACGGGGTGATATAAAAATGCAAATTCACAGTTGGCACATATCTTCAATTATCCGGCGAATTGTGCCATCTACTGGCTCA